CACAGATCAACTACGCGTCGCCTATAAAGTTCAAGATATGTGCCGGACCAGGCGGAAAAAAATTTTTGGAATCTATCGTGAATAAACCACATGTCTTTCTAGACAGGAGTGGAACATCCAAGCTATAAACTACTAAGCATTTTTCCAAGAAGATATGACTTGTTACACCGATCAGACTGTCTGGTTAGATGTAAGGACCTACCAGTTAATCACTGGTAGTAATCACACCAGTTGTTCGTATGTTCACGGAAACTTTTATTGATGTTTACAAGGGGAAGTGCGGCGGGGATGCTGTCAGACCAAACATACATGTTGATTTCGCATGCTGGAATTTCCATTTCCATATATATAAATGATCTCTCATCACTAAATAATACTTATGAAGGAAGTCGTAAATTGATATCCCTCATCGGGAGCTTCCATTGCACAATCTATGCCAGGAAAAATAATCATCTCAGTGTAAGCATTCCACCTTTCCTACGACGAAAGCTACTTAACTTTCTGAGAAGTACCCATTTCGTGTGCCATCACTCGTGTATTCTTGGAAGGAGCTTTATCGATCTCGCCAAAACTTAATCTTCTATTTCCGGCCTTAAGAATATTCTCTCGGAGTAAACTGCATTGCTGTTTGAGATAGTATACAAATAAGGTTTCTCACAGTAGTTTATCAAAGCAGGGGAAGTTAGGAAGAAGAGAGAAGCACAACTTGTTAGAAATCTCTCTCAGCCTTCGTGCTTCACTTCCATTTCGTATTGCTTGAAGTATTTGACACGCATGCATGCCAATTTCTCATTGTAAAACCCCCATAGTCTTGAGATTTCTTTTCGGTTTGATTGATTAAATTTGAATTTTTAACCCAAGAGCTATTGACACACCAATTTACAAATTTTTATATCACACCAACCAACGTGTGAACGCACCACACCAAACGTGAATTTTTACCAATTGCTCATTTAACCTGCTTAAGTCCTTCTACACGTATTCTCAGTGTCAGCAGGAACTTAAACTCAAGACTCGCTGGCTACGAGTTCGTGATCAGGATTACTCGTATATAATAGTCACGAATCATTTATCATCACGAATAAGTTATCAATATACTGATTTAAAACGTTTATGATGTCCCGTTTTTAAATGGCACTGTTAGCTTTGTAAAAATTTCCATTAAACCTACTAAAAGCAAATATTGCTTCTTCCCTTAGAAATTTGCATGTGGCTAATACTTTCCTTTGCGATATGTTACGTGGGCAGGTATAAAATACGGGTTTTTTGCTCTGTGACCAATGCATTTAATCCTGCAACTTTTAATAATTATTCATTCGCTTTCCAACACTTTAGTATATTGAGATTTTAAATTTAAAATTACATTTTTTATTATTATTCTCTCTCTCAGAGTTAAATGCGACGCTATGCTCCATGGTAATTATTACTCTCGTCTAAATGGATATTATCACTCCTCTTATTTTCTAAAAACAATTTAGAGTCACTTTTTTATATATCTCTCCTGTGTATCATTAAGAGTGATTGAGTTTTTTATATTTTCCTTTTATTTGTGATTGTTTTTGTACTTATTTTAATACCTCAACTTAAGTCATAAACTTTAATTTCTAAGAGAAAACTTTTACAAAGTTTCTGTAACTGCGCAGTTAATAAAATTTACTGTTGTTTCATCATTTAAAAATATTTTTTATGAGTAAATATTTTTTTAAACGTGGAAGCTTCTGCAGAATAGATTTGCTACTTTCTTAGAATGTTTTTAAATTTAATCATTGTTTAATAACAAATTTTTAACTTTTCTTAAAACTATGTATCAATTAATGTCGAAGAAGCTCAATAAATTCAGGAAAAACTAATAATCTTTCTTGAAATAAAGTTAGACAAGACATTAAAAGTGAACTGTTTTTCATGTAGACACAGCTGTTTATCTCATTATGATTTGTTTTTGTTATCTGAATAAAAATTATCCAGCTAGTAATGCGTTTTATGGAGGGCCATTATGTAAATAATAATGATAAAAATTGTTTTATTCCTACAAGTATTTTTAAAGTACATAATTGATTATTTAAATTTATAGTAACCATGTGGGCATTTTTGTGGACTCCTGCCATTATAGATTCATTTGAATCGTTAACTCATGTCACGGACTTAAAAGTAATAAATTTTGAATCTCTCGGCTTTCAAACTCCACAGGTTTTCTGGTTTGTCAGTTTAGAGAGTGACGTGTCAACTTAGGTCTCATCCTCATTACATGACGGTAGTTGTAATTTACGATGTCAATTGCGAAAAGCCCTAGTACAGACTCTGAGGAAAACGATAATAAACAATGAATCACATCAACAATGAAGTTATTTCATTAGTTTTCTGTGTGTTTAAAAAATACGAAAGGCAGTTAGATTTTTTTAGTGAGATAATTAAACTCCTGCGTATAACGCGCACCTATACTTTCCAGGTGCAATTTTTAGTTTTTAGGTATATACACCGAATAACGCCCCCATCCCCGTTTTTTACAAAGAAATCTGAAATGTACCTGCCCAATGTTCTTATGTTTTGTAGTCATCAATTCGAGTCTTAGAAAAAAATAGTATACTTCTAGAACTTTAACTGGTTAATTTCATTAAGAATGTCGTTTCTTTCAAATAAAATTCATTTTAAATTTGAGACTTCATGTATGTATAAAGATGATTCTAAATCAGATTTAAGAACTTAAAAATGTTTATTCTTAACTCTTTTTTAAATTTCATATACATTGTGGAATAATTATTTTGACTAAAATATGTTTGATGAATAATTTACTATATTTTTTTTTTAAATATAAGTATCCAAAATGCATTTTACGAAAAGTTCAGAATAGTTAACAAGGTTATTCTTGTAGCCTTAATTTGATCACTGAAACATTTATACCCTGAAGAAAAATTCCTTACCCTGAATGGGAATTATTAAGTTCTGACATGAAACAACAACTTAACATTCGTATCGTAAATATCATTATTACATATTCTACATTTATTAGTTTAAATGATTTTTATTCTTTCACGTATGCAGGCACACAGAAAAAGAATAATATTTACAATTGTCTCCTATAATGAAAAATAAAAAGAGGTTTTTATAAAAAATGGAAATGCAAATTTAAAATACCACTTTAGAGGAAACAGCATTACAAATTTTACAACAAGAATTAGGCTATTTTTTCTTCACAAATCACAAATATTTCTCACAATTTTCATATCTATTAAAGACAGAGATTAATGTTTGCTTAATAGGAGTACATTCAATTTGTTTATTATTTTGACAAAATCTCTAAGTTCATTGATATACATTTTTTTAAAATAAAGAATGGATAATATAAAAAAACGTTTACGTATTTTATTTAATTAATATCATTCGTTTTAAAAATGTAACATCTAATATTTTTAAAAAAAGGTTTTATAAAAATATTAGTATAGAGTTTCAAAAAATGCTTTATCTGATTTGTACAACTTTCAAAATAAATACGCTGTACGATAATGGATTTGCCCTGATTAATTGAACGGATAAATATGAAACAAGTAATATTAAAAAAAGACAATTCCTACTTTGGTCAACGAAGAAAAATTTTATTTTTTAGTTACTTTTTATTAAATAGTTAGAATTAATATAAATAAGTACATACATATGACAGAATCACAATATCAAGTGGCAAGTCAATGCTTGCAATTTTCCATTTTCCTTTCTATACTTATATTTTTTTATTTATCATTAACAGCTGAATATTTTCATACCCGTTGAGTAAATGCTATTACTTCTTGCTGTTAAATGTAATGATTGGTATCTTAAATATAATTGCGATAAAAATTGACATTTTTTTATTGAAATAAAAGCTAAATATATTTTGCTTTAAAATTACTTTTTTGAAAATAATGTTGACACTTCCTTAAATGCAGGGTTGGATTACATATTAAGTAAAATTAAAACTTGCTTAAAACATTGAAAGAAGAAGAAATGGGCCATAATACAAACTTTCCATGCAATTTTTTAAATACATTAATTTTCTTTATAACCAAAAAATAATAATCTCTCTCTTTTTTTCTTCTATATATTGGATTTAAAATCAGTTTCAACCAGTTTTAATTAAAAAATACTTCTATAAACAAAATTTATCAAACATTAGTGAAAATATTAAAATAATTTCTAAAGCAGGAAAAGATCAGTTTAGTTAAAAGAATTCTGCTTTGTGCAGCCACTTCTTAAAGTCATTTCTAGCAATGGCTTCTTCTTTGCATAAACGATTTTGGAAGCACTCATAAAACGGAGAAGAAATATACTTAAGCAAAGATTTAGCTTCACCAGAAGCGGCAAAAACACATTTCAAGTTTTATGACATAAGTATATGGGCGATTAGGAGGAGTGTTCAAATACCCTTGATAAAATCGCCTTTTTTTTCAAAATGAGAGTGACTTGTTACAATTTTAAATCGGCAGTGTATATTTAGCTTCCGTTATTCGTATATATAAATCTGATGGAAGTAAAGTGGCGAATTTTCATTCCTTTGAAACAAAAAAGGGTAATTATGTTTTTAATGCATTTGCTATTTTTTATAACAAGGACCGTGAAATAATATTCAGTTAAAAAAATCTCTTTTATAAATATGCTTTCTCATTCCTTCAGAATATCATGAACCCATTTTTACTATACTGTGAATGAATTCTCCCGATTATTTTATGTTAATTTATAGGAAACAAGTAAAATAAAAAAAATTAAGTCAATTCCTACTTAGGTCAACAGAAAGAAAAGTATTTTAGTAACTTTTTATTAAATAGTTACAATTAATATAAATATGTATATGCATATGACAGAATCATAATATTAGGTGACAAAACGATTTTCCTTGCAATTTTTCATTTTCCTTTCTGTATATGGGGTTGGACTCTTTTTGTTTGTTTGTTATTATTTATTCATAAATTAAATTTAATTTTTCTAATAGAATAGTATGGTAAAAAGAAATAGCATTTTTTCAGATATTAAGTCATCCCAGATGGGATTCAAACACACGACCTTTGAATTAGAAGTCCAATTCGGTATCCATTGCGCTACAGGGACAAAAGAACCAATTTTCTTTTCTATATATGCTGTTGGACTATTATTTTTGTTAGTTACTATTTATTCATTTTTTAATTTAATTAATGAATTCATATTTGAAAAAAAAAACTGTATTAACATCAAGTGTCATCCGCTGCAATTTTTAAAAAATGTATTTGAACTTGAATCAATAAATAGAATGTATTTTGTTGATGATTGAAAATTTGAGCAAGATATATATATATATATATAGAGAGAGAGAGAGAGAGTGGGAAGAGAGTGAACTAATAGTAGGAATTGAAAAATTACGTATTTTCAGAGATTGAATGCATGATAATATTCCAAAAACATTTACGATTAGTAAAAATTTGTCTCTGATAATATAACCCTTTAAGACCCAGCTTGTAAATCCCTGCTGCTGGGTCACTCGATATTCTGGAAAAGGGGGTAAGAAATTTTTTTATCATAGTTTTTAATGTCATTGGGGTCAGTATAGTGTTAATAACCAGAAAAATCTAAAATTTAAAGATAAATTATTTCACATCATAAAGGGATAAAAATGTTTATCCTGCACACAAACTCGCGAGTTCGTGTGAGCTGCGTCTTAAAGATATATAATTTATATATATACATATGTATGTTTGTATAAATACGGCACTGCTTAAACATATCTCTTTTAAGCATTATTATAGTCAATGAACGAGAAATGTATTCGGATATTATATTTTACAGTTTTATGCTAATTCAGAACAATTCATAGGGTCTTCCTGTGAGTCCCGATAGAGTCCATTTTTTTTAATCTTTAGCAATAAACAAATAAAACAGAGTAAACAAAGCAAGATCCGAAAAAGATAAGAACTTTTTTTTAAGAATTTCCAACAAGTGCTTGTAAAAATTAATACAAAAACGTTTCTAACTCTGATCACACCGGTGTGATCATGGGCCTACGAGGAGAGAAAGCTCAATCACATATATGATATTGTGGGCCGTGGAGTGAGAAACGCGTGATCACATATAAGTGATCATAGTCCTGAACGGGTTAAAATCAATAGAATTATATTTATACACATTAGCCAGAGTTCGATATCAATTTATTACATGTTACTCTCCAAATGTTAAAGTGAGTATTTGTACAAATAAAATTTGGTAATTATAACAATAACACATAATAAACGAAAGTATTTTTGTTTTACAGTATCACGCAGTACAAGTATATCCGAAATTTTTGACAATTTCTCTTAAAATCTGTATCTAATAAAACTGATCAAAGGTGCTTTTGAAATAAATAGAATGTAATTTATACTCATAAACTAAAGTTAGATATTATTTCTTTGGAACTTCAAGTTTTAACGATTTAGCAGAGGTCATTGATCGCACCAATCAAAACTAAGAAAGGGTCCTTTCTCCAAGTTAAGAATTTGTGCAGGAAGGATCCTTCAAATAAATAAATAACAATAAATATCTGTATTTCATGATCAGAAATGCTGGGTCTTTTAGAAAATTTCCTCAAGTTTTGAGAACTTATGATGCGGATGAAATCCATTGATATTTTTTTCTTGGAAATAGACATATTTTCTTTTTCATGTTCCTAGAAGTAGACGTATTTCATTTTCTTTTTTATTGTACTAACAAAAAAAAAACTTTTGTTGATCTCTAGAAGTCAACAAAAAAATTAAAATACATGATAAGCATAAATTTAAATTTCATAATTTCCCATTTTTTTCTACTTAATAGAGGCTAGAATTGAAAAGTTTTTAATTAAAGAAAATTTCTCAATATGAATCTATAAATGTATATAAATTTCATGAACATAAATTTCTTAAATGTACATCAATTTCATCGAGAAATTTTATTCAAAGTTACTAGAAAAGGAAGAATGGTGTGAAATCGAAAGATGATGTTTAATTGCTTTCAGATTTCGGAGTATTTTGATGTATATATATACATATTATATTTATTACGGTCTGATTATTATTCATGTTATTTAGTCCAAAAACGTTCTTGGAAAATATACATTGGTATCACACTTTAAGCAAATTATCTATAATATATAAACTCAAAATCTAGAGCTCAATTATTCAATGTATTATTCCACTACATTATTCCGCAATCAGCTGTAATTTTGTATATATATATATTTGTATTTAAAATATCTTATTTTCCTCAATTATATTTTTTTTTTGTTTTTCCCCGATTCTCCATGACAAATGATACTTTCTTTGCAATAATATATCAAAATAAAGAAGGTTGTTGGTGTTATAAAACTTACTGTGCCTGCAGCTTATCCCTAGACGGGAACTTGCTAATTTCAGTAAATTCTAGGTTGGCCTTGGTTTTTTTTTAACTGCTAAAATTCTACTATTCTTTAGGTTAAATTTACTGTAATCTTTCAGCTTGAAAATATATCAAAATAATGTATGTATTTGGGAGAAAGAATGCTTTAAGAAGTAGAGAAAATAAAGACAATTTAAATTACTAAATTAGGAATCCATTCGTCTTAAATTAAAGCTGTATTTTTGTGTCAAGTATTTAAGCTACATAGAATTATTAGCTAAGCTTCTGCTGCATCCTACATGAAAATAATTTTTTTAAAAAAACATTTCTGAACATTTCTACCATTAAATCAGCGTTTCTAAAACTGTGGGGCGCGCCCCCCTTGGGGGACGTGATAACTCGCGAGCCTGTTGAAAAGTCGAAAACAAAAGGTAGTTTAACAAATTATTAATTTACTGAAAGTAAACACAAACAAAATACTTTCTGATATAATAAAATATAGAATACACATTTACACTGATACAATACTCTTACAATTGTATCAGTACTGTACAATGTATATTTCATTATTAATTTAACAATACTAAGTTAAGAACAAGTTTGATAATTATCAGTAACCCCATGGGATTGTATTAACATTTATATTGATAATTTGTACGATTTATAATTAATTCCTTAACTGCCGATCAAAAGTTACGCAATTCTCTCCCCAATGCCACAGTTTACTACGTAGACGAGAGTATTTTGATGTTTTTTTGCGGAGGAGGAAGAAAGAAATAAAGAAGCAAAAAATCCTCTGAAATAAGTAATTCCTTCACTAACACTGTCAAGGTCCTTTTATTGCATTCCAAAGCCCTCGGAATAGTTTTATGGACAGCACTGCACAGAAAAGATCATACTTCGGACAGACGTATATATACGTCCAGAAAATTAATGCTTTGGCTGAGTGAGACGTTTATACACATCGGTGGCACATAAGAGGTTAAAGTCATATTGCAGCTTTAGTGTCAAAGTATAATATTATTGAATTAATATTATAATTGTTATTGTATGGAGGGGGGCGCGATGAAAATGATGATTGAATAGTGGGTCGCGTATATTGAAAGTTTGAGAAGCACTACATTAAATAAAAAATTATGTACATATATATACATAGAGTGGTTAAATTATTATGACTACCTCTTAAATATAACATTGAACCACATCTTGCACTTAATACCGCATAAATAGTTTTTTGCATGGACTCTATGAGATGTTGGCAATTTCATGAGGAATATGATGCTATATTCGATGAAATGAATTTTTCAATGCCTTCTGGATGAATGGTTCTGGATCCATCTGGACTGTATTTAGATAAGGTGACTCTGTGGATCATCTATGTAAGGAGGAAGTCTCTGTCATGCTTTCCAAACCATTTACGGACAACACTAGTCATATGACAGGGAACATTGTCTCGCTGAGAGAATCCATCCCTGTCAGGGTACACCATAAAAATAAAGGGATGTACCTGATCTGCAATAACACTGACTGTGATACGCTCTTCAGCATTCAGACATTCTTCGAAATAAATCAAGGGACCTATGTAATGCTAAGCAATGCTTGTTTTCTTTCCGTATTGCACATATTTTCGACCTTGTATCTATGTGGTATAGTTGAAAACGCGAGATTCTCCGGATCACAGAACTCTTTTGCAGTCATATACTGCCAAATCCTTGGGCCTTTTTGTGAAATGAAGATGTCTGCTCTTGATCCAGGTCTACATTAGAAGCTTTCAAACAGGTCATTTGCCACCAACCGGTAAGGTGTTATGTTCGGCAAACAGTTCATTCAGAGACGTTAACAGCAGCTCCTTGATTAAGATTCCCGCTGTTTGACGTGCAGTTGCTCTTCTGTTAACATTGGACAATTTTTGCAATTCCCCTTTTCGAACGAGCTTTAAGTAACTTGGGATGACAACAAGCTTGAAGTTGAGATTTAGTTTTCTGCTTGTAAACTTAATAACTGCTGTTCTCGAATACATAATTGTAGCCTTTTTTGCTGATACTGCTTCCGATGCTTCAAGTGCTCATAATCATCCCGCGTTCAAATTCCGTTAAATCACACTTTCTCTCATATCTTCTCAAGAAGCGTAGTGTAATTCATCCCCCACTTCTTCTGCATTTCATTTTAATTGCTATATTGTTCTATAGCAACAGCAACAGGATGCTACAGCCAATCATCTTATAAGACTCAAGTGGTCTCACAAAACTTACTCTTTATTATACACAGCGAATCTTTCTTACTTTTTGTATTAAGTACCATGTCGACCTTAGAGATTTCACTTTACTGTTTTCATTTTCTTGATCTCATTTATATTACGTATCATGTTAAATTTTAAGGACTAGTAAAAACAATACAATGTTCCCATATATCATGTGTTGCTTTTCTTATCAATCTTTGATCTAAAGTGTAAAAGATAAATGTAGCTCTGACGTTGATAGATGGAACACAATGTAAATAATTTTGTGGAATAAGTTTTATAACACAAATCGTACGTTTGCATTGATAAAAAAAGTTTTGAAAGTAGGATTACTAAGTTAACAACATATTATCGAATAAAATAACTATGTCTGGTTCTTAGGATTGTTAATTATTTTTATCAAAATACATAATTTTAAAATAATTTTTTTATCTCTCAGGTAGCAATAATGAAGTTTTATTACAAAGTACTTCATAGTTTTAGTATGTTGAGAGTCTTAGATATGTAA